GTGTGTCCAAGGCGGAACCAGGCCGGACTGCAAGAGGACACGGGTGGAGACAGAACCGACCCAGCAACTGCAACCACCAGCTGATCGGGGCAATGGACTGTGCCGGGCCCTATGCTCACTAGAACACGCAGAAATCTGGACTGGGAATACCTCAAAATTTCTTTGAGGATTTCCCCAGTCGAGACACCGGACTCAGAGTCCTAACCAAGAAAAGACAGAACAAGTCAAGCAACAACCTCAGTTATCTGTTGGCAGCAAAATACTGGGCAAATGGAGACTCTAGAAGGGACTGTGTCAATCAATGAACTCTTCAATGACCACATCATGCTTGGAGTGGCAAGACTGGCAGCGACCCATGAATGGTGAACTATTGGAACCACTTGATCGAGTATCTCAGAGCATGCCCCACAATTGGGACTTAGGGTGGGTGGAAAACTGGTTGGGGCTTCTTCCTCCATATCCCCCTTTAGGCCTTGAACCTTTTTTTACCCCAATTAAATATGTAAGGATTGTCAAAATAAAAACAAACAAACAAACAAACAAAAAAACATTAAAAAAATTAAAAAATTCTCTTTCCTTATGTTGGAGAGTGGACTGCAGCAGAACACATCTTAGATATGTGAAGAGAGGAATAAAACAACAGGGGTAAACAATGACAAATGCAACACTAAAAGAGCTTTTCAAAATAGAGTGGGAGGTGTCGGTGTCTTCAGGAACAGTTTATGCTCGGGGATCTTGGTCACCTCTGGGCCCACGCCTCTGAAGAACATAATGACCAAAATACCAGTCAGTACTCGAGGGCTCAAGAAACTCAGCCAGAATTTACGGGCATTGTTGCTTTTTACACTTTTTAAATTTCCTGTTGGTCACACAGTCACTGTTCCTTCTCAATACGCAACAGCTGATACAAGCTCCAACTTTTCATACTTTCAATGTAAGACTCTGACAGATATCAACAAAGCACCTGTGAGTTAAGGGGCTGGGTGCTCATAACTGCATCATAACCATACCAATTGCAACGCGTAGGCTTCAGCTCAAATAATCATAGGGAGAAGGGGAAGACTTAGTAACCAATTATAGAAAAAGAACACAATGAAAGAATGAGATACTAGGAACCTGGGGAAGAATGAAACCCTTTGTGTTGGTATATTTCACAGTTTGCAAAGAACTGCGCCTTAGAATCCAGGAGAACACAGGTACCAAGGGGAACGCCTGGAGAGGGTGTGGAGGTCCCAGGCTTACCCTAGACAGCCTCAAGTGTCTTTTCCTTCTAAATGTTCTGAGCTCATCCTTGTAGAAAGAAACAGACAGAAATCTCCCCATCTGTATACGGCAGGAACACTGGCTCTGATTAGCACCTGGAATATGGGTTAATTTTGTGAGATGAGGCCCTTCACTTGGGGGTCAGGAGTCTACACTAATTCCACACAGGGTCCAAATTTAGGAAGAAATTTGTTAAGTATGGGAAAACATACATACATAATGTGCAAAAACAAAGTAATGAGAATAGTAATGGAGCAGAGGAAACAGGAATTTCCTTTCATTAGTAATTAACATGAAACTGTAAACTTCAGCAGGAGGAGACCATTGTGCTAGTAAATATAGCTAAAGCTTTAAGAGTTATAGGGGCATACATTTATTCTAATTGCATTTTGTTTGCAAGCTGCTCTGAAGCAATGGGTAACAAGCAGTTTCACATTAGAAAAGTCAGCTGTGGTTGGCTTCTGCCAGTCAGTATCAGATATGCCTTTGTAAGTATACTAACTGTGAATGTATTCTGGATTGTGCTAAGTAATTTGGCAGTAACATAACTATATGGTATATGAAATCAGTCCATGCCACCTACTTATACCCCTCCCCAAATAATGTTATTATTTAAAACTGATTTATTGCTAATTGGAAGGTTGGCTTACAGAGAGATGGAGAGGGGAAGCAGGGGAGACAGAGAGGGAAGGAGAGAGAGGAATGTCAACCAGTGGATACTGGATTAGCAAGATTGATGCCTTACGGATCTAAACCACCTGTGCAGAACCATTGGAGCATGTGCCACATCAGGACCCTGGGTTGACACTGGGAAGCTGTTCCCCATCCCAGGGTACTGGGGTGGTTGAGAAGCTGGGTATGGCTTCCTCCCTTATCCCTCCCCTTCCTCCAGATACAGGAAGGAGAATTTGGAAATGATTATCACACCCTTCCCTAGCCCTAGATCCTTCCCATCCTGAGCAATTATGTAAACATCATCTAAAATAACATTTATAAAACATTTTTTAAAAAGAATGCATGTGCTTGTGCACAGAAAAAAACCTCAAATAAAAATCACTTCCTACTTCTCCCACTTTCAGGGGAAGATGAGGCCAAAACAGCGTATGTGGCAGGAGGTGCTGCTGCTGGCATGCTACAGCCAGTGAGGCAAGGGATTTTATCTACTTATAAACAACATGGAGTTATCAGAGTTCTTATTATATTGTATCAACAGGGCTTAAAAAATGCTAAGTTAAATGATGAAAATCCTTCTTCTTGACTACTTAAAGATATGCGCAGGAATAATAAATACTTACGAAAAGATACTAAATAATAAAGCAACTCAACTTGAAGAAATATTTGTTTTTAAGTCTCACTTTACCATGTGAAGAATAACTGGAAAGGACGCAATCGCTTTGTGTATGTTAACAGTTGGTATTTTATGAAGTTGATGAAAATTGTGACGCCACATTCCAGTTAAATTAAAGCAACAATGGCAAATATGACTGTCAGTCATCTGAAGGCAACACTAGCGTGTGGAAGACTGAGTACCGACCCTGCATTGAAATACTGCAGCTGCAGTGACAGGAATGACGGGGCTGACGGTGTGGCTCTCACCACGCTCCTTTCTCACTTGGAGATGGCCAACTTCTGTCAGTTCTGGGAGGAAGCCAAATATTCTTGCACAATGCCATTGAGTTATTTTCAACATTAGTGGGTGGAAAGCCTTGTTCAACAGAGTACCAGTCTAGTCTATTTTATTAATACTTGATATTCAATACTATTTTTAAAAATCAGAGCAACAAGGAGAAAGACAGAGTGTTTTGAGTTGCATCTGAGTTTGCTTTCTATTTCTTGACCTTAAATATTTCAAGAAATTTCAATTTTTATTCATAAATTTCATTCTACTCTATACTTTCTGAGTCAGAGAAGGCAAGTATTTGGTTAACCCAATCTCTACTGAAAAGGAAGACACACAATATATTCAAAGCAGACAATAACTCTTGCCTGTGCACTATGAAACCAGAAAAAAAAAAAAAAAACTACATAGCTTGCCTAAATCCTATCACTTTTATTGTGAAGTTAAGTCTAGCATCTACATTTCACACGGCACTTGTCTGGAAAATCCCAGCACATTACCCATGCCACATCCAGGTTAAACCCAGCACCAGACAGACCACAGGAAACGCAGGAGGAAACAAGCAGACTGTAGGTCTGCTACCCACGGCACCTCTACATTAAACCCAGCACCAGACAGACCACGGGAAACGCAGGAGGAAACAAGCAGACTGCAGGTCTGCTACCCACGGCACCTCTACATTAAACCCAGCACCAGACAGACCACAGGAAACGCAGGAGGAACTAAGCAGACTGTAGGTCTGCTACCCACGGCACCTCTACATTAAACCCAGCACCAGACAGACCACGGGAAACGCAGGAGGAAGTAAGCAGACACCAGGTCTACCTAAAAAGGATTCAACATGTTTTCTTTCTTTTCATCCTAGTTACTTTCAGAAGACTCAGCATTTGTGGAAAAACTCAAGGTAGGACTATTATTATGAATTTTTTAGGAGAACCAGAAAATAGGAACACATCCAATTGTAAGGAATGAAAACACCGAGTGGTAAAATGTTGGAACTGCTAATTACAGAATGAAATGTTGCTGTGCTCCCAGGAGGCACTCCTTCAGAAAAAAGGAATAAACCCTCCCTATTCCTGCCCTTCCAGGAGGTCACAGGCTAGGAGGGAGAAGAGCATGTGATCTGAGTAATTGTGCCAGGTCAGCTGGCACCTTCTGAATTTCCATGGCAATCACTAATCCAAGTTTCTAAGGACAAGCAGGAGACCGTCAAACGAAATATGAGAAGTTATTCTAGGCCAAGTAGGCTATGACCAAAGGCTTAAAGCCCTGAAAGGACACAGCACCTTCAGACAATCTTTACAAACTCAGGGCGTCCAATGTAAAGATGAGTTTAACAAATGCACTTAGCAAGAAATTGTAAAATAAAATATGAAAACCTACTGATTCTTGCATTTTATTTCCATCATTGATGTCCAGTCACTGACAATCACCTTACTTTCAATTACCTAAAACAGGAATCATTTATCTACTGTACCTTATTTTCTTTACTTACGGTAATCTAAGGAACATTTGCTCTTAAAGAATCCCTCTCTCTCAATTTTAATGCCTGGATAGCCTTATGTTAAGTCCATATTGAACCATATTAATAATTACTGAATGGCGAATCAAACATTAACCTGCATTAATTAAAAACATGAAACATTTGCTTTCTTCACTGAAAAGATTTACCGCTAAAGAGTCACTGTATAATCCCGGTATTAAAAGAATAACTGAGAATTACTACTAAAGACGATTAGCTGCATATCCTAAAAGGAAGCACTTTAAAAGCAAAATCACTATGGTGTTATTAGGTGATTAGTTTTAAATAACTGATTTATTCAGGAGCAACATAATCAAGCAGTGGTAAACTCTGGCAAGAGCTTGAAGATACATCTCCATGACCCTAATCTTCTATCTCTCTGCCAACAACAATTCCTCTTTCATACCTTTAAGCTATTCAACGAAAGAGGCCATGACTTCTTTCTCACTTTTTGGACCACTTCTTTGGCATTTAATAAGTGCTTACTGAAGAATATTCCAAGGACTAAAACAGAGGGAGGCACTTCGTTCCAACATCAATCTACGTCTGCATTGAGGCAGTATGAACAAAACAACGTGGTGAGACATCTTCACTTACATACTCTGTGTAGGCCTCCTGGGTGGGCGGCGGTGGCGGCGGCCTGTACCCACTCGGGGGAACGCCTCTTGCTCGGGGAGTGAGAAGACCTCTTCCTCGACTTACTGGCCCCCGGGTGGACAGGACTCCCCTGGCAGTTGGCGTTCCTCGTGGGACACCAACTCCAACTGGTCGGGCTGTGACTCCTCCCCTTCCCCTGCAAATAAGCGAATCAAATGAGTCACATTGATCACATTGCTAATATTCCTTAATTCACAATTATCTATATTTTACAAAAATCATTTTCCATATTTCTGAAACAAGGAATAAAAAATGATGCTATAAGAATTCAAGAAAACAAGAATTAGGTTTGTACCAAAAGGAAGCTAGTCCCTTAGGCAGCTAAGTCAGCAAGAAAAAATAAACACCAAAGAAACCCAGACTATATTTCTAGTTAAACTGCTGACTGGAAGCTACAAGGTCCAGGCAGCTCCAAGTACTGAAGATTGCGACAGACAGTGATTAGACATGGAATATGAGAAGAATGCAGTGACAAGACCGAAGGAGGCGTTACAGGTCTGTGGCCACAAATTAAGTAGCGTCAGCTTCAAGAGAAACAGAAAGGAAGGGTGGCAAGGTTGTAACCCAAAGCCAACCGGCAGGGCACAGCTCAGAGCAACAGCTTGACTTGGACCTAATCGGCCGATTCTGAGCATTTGGCCTCCATAACCACACACACATACATGAACAAACAAAAAACTATACTTATTCTGTCAAGAAATTTGTGGTAACTTGTGACTATAGATATAGAAAAATAATTTAAAGCAATTTCCAATAATTTTGAATATATTTAATGAGGAAAAAATCAAAGAGATCATCATATATTGAGAATCTATATTCATTATCATGCAAAATCATCTAGAACAATCCTACTGTTGGCTGTTTTGCTTTAATTATAGAAATCCCACCTGTACCACACTCAGTATCAAGTGCAACTTCCCCGCCACTGATGAGATCAGCAACATCCAAGGAGAAAGTGTTTTTCATTTCTCCAAATTAACTTGGAGATACAGAAGAATGCTATTATAAATTAATTCATATAAAAGTCTATATAAAAACACTACAGACACCAATTTAGTTGAAAAACTTGCATTAATTTCATACATTAACTTCTGTGGGGAGAAAAATTAAAATAAAATTTTAAGAAATAATTCTCAAATAATTCTGAGACACTCATGTCAGATTTAAACATGGATATTCACATCAGATAAACAATTTACTTAAATCACTTCTCTGTTACAAGTAATCATCAATCCAGGGACACAGCAAAGCTCTGCTTCCTGAACAGTGAAGGAACTGCACATGTCACAGCATACTTATACTGACGTCACTAAGAGCCATCTGGATCCACCCTGGGTGCACAACGCTGTGCGGGGCAGGGATGGCGTCGTGAAACGCCCAGTTGTGCTCAAAGGTAGAACAGGGCCGAGGCTTACCTCAATCTGCTTATCCAAAGGCTTTTTACATAAAAACAAGCCACATTTTAAAGAATCCATGTTACAGTGAATAATAACTTGTCAAGAGTTATAAACTAGTAAGTAGTAAAGGTTAGAGTTAAGCCTAGGGAAACACTAAACTTAATGTTTTCGTACACTAACATAAAAAACAAACAAAAACAGCAACTCCACAAATAACAGCTACCTGGTGACTGTAGGGGTCGGAACACCTCGTGTACGCAGGGTGGGCTTCCCTCGAACCACTGGAACATCTGCATTTTCAGAGCCACCATTCAAGTACGTCAGCTCCTGGAGCTGTGCCTGCCGGATCTCGTCATTATAGTCCTGCACGGAAGACAGGGACAACACGATCTGCTACGCATCAAAATGTCACAGCACCCACAGCAAAACACAAACAGTTCTTGAGGCAACTGAATCTATGAGATAAACAAAATGGATTCTCTCCATATTAATAACATTTTAAACAGGATACGTAAGTAGTGGAGTTCACAGAACAAGCTCTAAGAGTACTAAAATGAAAATGTTCTGTTTTATAACCCTTTAAAGCAGGTCTACTACTGAATACTCAACAATGGTTAAAATACTAAGCTAAAATTCACAAATTTATTAATTTAATTTCCCCCAACATTTACTAAACATCAGCAAAGACATGGAATAAATAAAGTCAAGTACTTTATTTATAGGATTCTCTAACTCATTACCCAAGACTTATTAACTGAAGTCACACTGAGTGTTTCTTCTGAATACAGCAGAATGAATAAGAAATTCATTTATATAGTTGGGCATTCAAATATATTTAACAGTGAAATTACACACACACAAAATAACCATTATATCAAGACTGAAACCAAAAGAAAAATTTGAAATTACCCTGGGATGAAGGAAAATACATAAATAACACACCCAAATATGTATGGGGTAAATCTCAAACAATGGTCAGAAAAAGTTACAGCTTTTCATGCCTACCTTTTAAAAAGAAATGATAAATTCAGAGACAAAAATGGAAAAGGAAAAAGGCTAAATACCAAAAAGAACATAAGATAAAATCAAAGTAGAAATAGATATAAAGAACAAAAAAGGAAAAAACATTAAAAAGTGCTCTTTAGAAAATTAATAAAATCGGGCCCGGCGCGGTGGCGCAGTGGTTAAGGTCCTCGCCTTGCACGCCCGGGATCCCATATGGGCGTCGGTTCTAATCGTGGCAGCCCCGCTTCCCTTCCAGCTCCCTGCTTGTGGCCTGGGAAAGCAGTCGAGGACGGCCCAAAGTTTTGGGACCCTGCACCCACGTGGGAGACCCGGAAGAGGCTCCTGGCTTCAGATTGGCATAGCATCGACCGTTGCGCTCACTTGGGGAGTGAATCATCGGACGGAAGATCTTCCTCTCTGTCTCTCCTCCTTGCTGTATATCTGCCTTTCCAATGAAAAAATAATAAAAATAAATCTTTAAAAAAAAAAAAGAAAATTAATAAAATCGATAGTTAGTCCTTTAGCTTGACTAACAAGGAAGAAAAAAAAACCAAGATTCAAGATTATTTAAATTAGAAATAAAATGAAGTATCATTTGGAATTGAGAGAAATAAAAAATGCATATGGGAAATATTATGCACAACTACATGCCATCAAAATAGAGGCAATTAGAAAACATGGATCGATTCTTGAAAACACAGTATCTACCAAAGCTCAACAGGCAGTAATGTGACATAACAGGAAACAGAACTGGTCTCTGCCACAGAATTCTGAGTTTCAAGAATGGCAGAGGGGACAGAAGCTTCTGAGATTCACAGTCACATCATTTCATCCAACTGGTATATATGCTAATGACGTGACTGTCGAAGGACTGGGTGCCTGAGGTTTCACTGTAGCACTGGAACTTTCAGCCCCAAATTGCCTAAAACCACTGAAGAGGGGAAGGGTTGGAAACTGCCTTAGTAACCACGGGCCAACGATTTCATCAATAATCATACACAACGGGGCCTCCACACAAACTCTGAAGGACCCGGAGAGTTACCGAGTTGGTGAGTGTATCGACAGGCCATGGGGAAGTGCACTCCAGTTCTGCAGGTATATAAACTCCACACTCAGGACTGTTCAAGAGCTCATCTACGGAGCTCTTCATTTGGTAATTCCTCTACATCTTTATAGCCAACTAAACCAGCAAGTAAATGCTTTCCTTGTGTTATGCGAGTCATTATAACAACTTAATAAACTGGAAGAGGGGGCTAAGAGACTCGGATTGTGAGGTCTAGTTGGCGAAAAGTACAGGAGACCTGGGACTTTAGAACGGCACCTCAATGGAGCAGCCTTAACCTGTGAAAGCTGATGACAATACCAAACCCTGAGTGTCAGAACTGTAACACTGCAAATACCCACTTGCTGTCTACAGAGTTTGAGAATTGGCAGGCTGAAATAACATAACATAACATAACATAACATAACATAACATAACATAACATAACATAACATAACACCATAATATTTGGTGGCCATAAATACTGTGTAAGGACAAAGCTTTTCTTTTGCTAAACAGAGACTAAATTAGTACTCAAAGTTTTCCTGTCCCATCCTTCCTCAAAAAAGTCTCACACCCGTATGATTTTACTCACGACTCATGAATTCTACCAAATGTTATCTTAGTTATATATTTAACAGATGGGAAGAGAAAGACAAAGAAAACTCCCAACTGTTGGTTCATTCTCCATACGCCTGGAACAGCACAAGGCCCCTGGTGGAACAATGCCAAGAGCTGGAAGTTCAGTGCAAGTCCCCAGCAGCACCCCATTACCAAGAGCTGGAAGTTCAGTGCAAGTCCCCAGCAGCACCCCATTACCAAGAGCTGGAAATTCAGTGCAAGTCCCCAGCAGCACCCCATTACCAAGAGCTGGAAGTTCAATGCAAGTCCCCAGCAGCACCCCATTACCAAGAGCTGGAAGTTCAATGCAAGTCTCCAGCAGCACCCCATTACCAAGAGCTGGAAGTTCAATGCAAGTCCCCAGCAGCACCTCATATGAATGCTGGGGGGGAGTCCCAGCTTCCTACTGCTATGTGCTCTGCGGTGCAGCAGGTAAACAGTGCCAACAGTCGAGTCATTTTCACCCACAAAGGAGACACACAAAGACTAATCCCTGGCTCTCCCCTGAACACAGGCGGCTGGGAGAATGATGCAGAAGATGGGGGATTGGTTTTTCTGCCTTTAAATATTTTTTTAAGGGAGACAGATAACTCCCCAAAACTTTAACACGAGAGACTGAATTCTCTCCCCAAGGCCACATTCTGTCAAACAACTGAATTAGGAGTGAATGGAACTCAGTCACTGACACAGCAAAAGGCAGGTGTCTTCCTCCAGCTGACGGCTATAAACAAGACAAGAGGAAGGATTAAAAGGGAAGGTTTTCAGATGGCAGAAATAGAAGTATATCTGACTATAGATGCAAGATTCAGAGAATCACCTCTATGAGTTGTTTAAAATTAGAAATGTGAAAGAAATTTAGTAAACTGATAAGATACACATCATGTCGTCCTTATTTTTCAAAAACAGAATAAAAATGACTTGCAACTTTTAGTAGACAGCATTCGGAAAGAACGCAAGGTGACTGCCATGAATTAGAAAGGAAGAATCACCAGAAGCACACGGGAGAAAGAGCAGACACACGCTGACACATCCCATCGCCGCGGTCAGAAGGAAGATCTAGGAGCAGTGCCCTGTATCCAACAGACTCCTCACCTGGGGAAGTGTACTGTCAGAGACTCATTTACATCTATTGCTATTTCAGCCTCCCTACAATTTTTCTTAAATGTGTGAAGATTAATGAACGATTTCTAAAACAAATTCTGAGTAAAATGTGACAGAAATCTGACATCCACTAGTTCACTCCTCAGATGCTCTGCCACAGCCTGGGGTAAGTCGAGCCCTGGACGTGGAATTCTCAAGTGGGTCACAGGATCTAACAACGGAGCTGCCACCTGCTGCTTCCCGGGGTGTGCGTGAGCAGGAACGCTGGAGTCGGGAATGGAGCCATAAACCCAAAGAATTCCTGCACCTGGAGTGGTGTCTTCACTGCCATGTGAAACACCAGCCCCAGAAATACTGTTTTAAAGCAGTAGGGAAAAAGAAATACACATGGTATTCTATTTTTACAATGTTATATTTTAAATGATCATTTAATGTCTCATCTGAAAAATTATTTCATTACAACATGAATATTAACAATATCAGTTATTAAGGTTAGGAAGGGGATTATCATTCTAATTAAGTTTGTATAACAGAATTTTTCTATCCCATGAGTTTAGAATCTATTCATATGCTGGTATGGAGAATAGGAAATATATTTAAATTCTTAAAAGTAACATACTACAATTCACAGTTCTTTCCCAGGAATTTACTCTTCATCTATGTTTACCAAAATATTTTAAAACTTGTGTCTGAGTATCCTGGGATAACTGCCTGTACTGCAATAGACATAAGCCAGGAGCAGATGTTGTGCCCAGCAGCTCAGGACTGACTGGGATGCGAGCACTCCATGTCAGAGTGCAGTGCAGAGCCCCGGCTCCTTCACCTTCACTCCAGGGTCCTGCTAATGCATCCTGGAGGGACCAGACAATGGCAGAGTGCCTGTGAGCCACTCACTTCTCAGGCAAGACCAGGATGGAGTTTGACTTATGGATACTGCCTGGCCCAATGTCAAGTACTGTGAAAATTTCAGGAGTGAATCAGTCAACAGAAGATCTCTCTCCCTGCCCCACCCCCATCACTATGCTTCAAATGAAAATAAATGTTTTAAACACTTACAGTATATGCATATAATAAAGCTTTATGCAGACATTAAAAAAAATGAAATGAAGCTTCACGTATTATCAGATAGATAAGGATCCCCAAATCAAGCAGTCTTTAAAAGGTAAACACAAAGAGAATAAGACATTTGGTTACATGAGAGAAATGCATAGTGTCATCCCACAAAAAACAATAATAAAACTTGATAAAGTAATTCGAAGCAATCATTTAAGGAAGCTGGAAACTGAGTTAAAGCACATACTAAACTGAGAATGCTCCTATTAATGAAAAATTGCTAAGTCTCAGGCAAGAAAAGTGGGATTTGAGTATTTTATGAGGTGTCAGCCCCTTTCTTCCCTGGCATAAGCTGGAACATTAGTATCACTAGAGTTGGGAAAGTGACAGTCCCCAATTTTCTCTAGAAGATTCACTTAACTAGGAATGATATGTGGAAAACCCTACACCCAGGAGCAACGTAAATGACCATAGCCATTTGGGTAGCACAGGAACAGGAATGATAAGTCAATCAACAAGCCTGGTATTGAAGTTCTTGACTGGGGCAAATGACATAAAAACATCAGTCAGAACTCTCCCAGCCATGCAGGAAATGAGAGCACACAAGCCCTGAATAAGCTGCCCACCTATTTCTGCCCAAATGCAAGGCTATATATACATATGCATAGCAAAGACGGAGACAGCTCTGCCTACATCCTTGTCTCAGAAGGACTATGCTCACATATGGAGAAGACATGAGAAATCCCAATGAAGGGTGAGTCGGAAGCACTCCCCAGCCTACACATAGAGCACAGTGCACCACGCTCCAGCATTAGAGAAAACACAAAGAAGTCACATTGAAAAATAAAAGCAGAAGGAAAAAGTCAACAGATTTAGTACAACCAAAGCAACAGAAAGGGAAGATAAAAAGATGTCCCAATCCCATGTGTCAAGAAAAGCAAGCAGGAACCAGGTTTGCCTCTACGTTAGCTATCATACAATTTCCAACCAAAAATTAAGCAACACAAAGAAAACAGGAAATTATAATCCATACTCAAGAGGAAACATGATAATAAGAAACTATGTTAGAAAAGGTACAGATGTTGGACTTGGGGGGAAAAAAGAAAATGAAGCATGTGTAACCGCAATAAAAAACTGACTACAAGAGATAGACAACACAGCTGACATGGCAGAACAAACAGCAGAGCAGATGACAAGTCAACTTCAATGATTCAATGTGAGGAATATTAAGCAAAAACAAAGTGAAAAAAAATGAGCCTTGGAGGACAACAGCATTTGAGTTAGCATCCACAATGTTGTCTACGGGGAAGAGAGAAAGGGAGAAGGCAGGGAAACACAAAGAAAGGATGGCTAAAAGCTTGGTACACCTACAGGAAAACATGAACACACAGATCAATGGTATTTAGTCAACAGGCTGGATAAACATATACAAAACAAACCTGAAAATCAAACCCAGACACAGCTACAATGAAAGGAGGGAATGCTGTATGAAGCAGAACAACAATTAATTAAAACAACAGAGACCAGGAAGCAGCAAGAGTGCACATTCAAAATGTCCGAAACACCCAAACTGTCAACCAACAATGTTATAACCTACCCTTTAAAATACAAGTAAGACACAGAACTCTCCAGAAAAACAAAAACCATTTGCTGCTACATCTGCTTAACAAGAAAACATAAGGAAAGTGCTTGAGGTAGAAAAGAAATGACACCACAAGGGCCTCTGTCACGAGGAAGAAACACAAGGCACCAGAAATGAAAAAGGGACAGGTTAATGTAAAAGACCCTACAGGGATACTGTTCTATCTACTGAAGCCCTGTGATCACACGTGACCCATCTTACCACATATAAATAAAAAAATACCCCTCAACCTATACAAAGGCTTGACCCCTGAAATCAACTACCACAGACACCACTAACATTAAAAAAAAAAAAATACTCCGTAGGCAACAAAAGCGTTTGGCAAATCTCAATACACATGCATGTATCATTTCTCCATAAGAGAAAACTCTAAATCACGTGTAGTTTATAATCCAGATTGTCCGTATGAATATCCAGACCACACACACACCTCAAACCCTCAAACTGATTACAGATTTAGATAGAATACTACTATATGAAATTTAGAACAAAGCAGCAGAGGATCTTTGTGACAGGATGCAACAGGCTTCTTTTGCGCAGCCCTGATTGTGAGGAAAATCAGATTACACGCACCTCTTGGTGGAACCACTGCTTAGATTTCAAGGTCATGGACCACAATGTACTAGGTACAGTCATGCTTGGAAAACAGAAATTCTCATGTTTGATTAGCTCAGCACTGTTTGATTCAAACTATTAAAATTAGGGTGGAAACCATGTTTTCCAAGTGTTCATATGCACCTATCACACAGTAAGTACTATTTTTAAAGTAAATAAATAACATATTTGCTTCTGAAAAATGAAGAAAACATTAACCATTTCAGTTGCTAATTTATTAAATAATGCAATCCCACATCCTATATTTGATTTTTGCATATTGCATGTTATTTATTTATTTTTTGTAATCTTACATAGTTGATTAGGGTACAAATTGTCAAGGGCTACAGGAAAGTGGGTAAGACCATTGCTTCCACACTAATATCTGCGATCAGGGGAGAAACAAAGGGAGAAGCCCCACCCAGCTCCCACCCATCCTAGGTCCCCAATGTGGGGCATGCTCCAAGGGTCTTGCTCAAGCAGTTTTGATAGTTTGACGGTTCTGAATTGCTGCTAATCTCGCCATTCCAAGCACGGTGAAATCTATTCAGAATCCACTGGCTGACACAGTCTCTTCATGGTTGGGGTTCTGAGATCAGCAGTTCAGTTGGAGGGATCTCCAAGGAAACTTCCATCTGAGGTGATCTAGAAGACCTGATATTTGTGTGTGCTTGCCAGTACAGGGTCCGGCAAAGTCTGACGCCCCAATCAGCTCATGCACATGCTGGTCGTTGCAATTGCTGGGTCAGTTCTGTTTCCAGCCCTGTCTTCCTCACAAACAAATGGTTGTTGCAGTCCAGCTTGATCCTGTCCACTTCATACTCGGCTCTCACGCAAACCAGTGGGAGCTGCAGCCTAGCTGAGGTGACTCCCCATAACCCCCCACCAGGCCTGCCCCCTACCCTGGTTCTTGTGCTTGCCACTATGTACCGCAGACTCATTCAGTCTATCCCACATCCCATTCGGCTCTCATACATGCCAATGGGCATTGAAGCCTAGTTCAACCCAACCAATCCTACCATCCAGCCCACACATACTGACGGGTGTTGTTCTGTCCAGCCACCCCTGCCCCAGTCCTGGTTTTCATGCTCTCCAGTGGGAGTGGTAACCCAAGGAGGATGTGCCCTCTATTTCCCTACCAGGCCACTCCCACTCCCTGATTATGCTTTCTTCAGGTGGTTCTGGAGCTTAAATTGACAAATTCAGCCCCCAGTGCCAGCCTCTGCCCGCTGATGCGGCGGAAAAGCCCAACCAACCCTCACCCACTCTGATTTTTGCTTGCACCAGTTGGAATAGTCGGCCCAACCTGGCTTTTCCCTAATGAACCTGGCTTTTCCCTAATGTAGCTCGCATGAGGCCCACAGGTGCTGTCTCCCGGCCCGTTCTAGTCTGCCCCCATCCCCACCCACGCTCTCCAGTGGGAGTGGCTGCCCAGCAAGGGAGCCCACATTCCCCCTGTGGGCTTTGCCCACATCCTAGCTTTTAAGACAAATGTGATAGAAAACATCCTTTTTCTGTGTTTTCTTCCTGAGAGACAAGCTGACCACAGTATATGTGCTCTGCATGGAAGCCAATCAGCCAAGCCCAGGATCACTGAAAACACTGTTCTACCTAGAGCGACTTGGCAGATAGGTTAACTTCTCGAGAATAAACTGACCACAAAGCAAAGTGTTAAGTCACACAAAACATTAAAACAGATTTTGGTAATAAGAAACAGAGCTCTATACTCCTTCAATTATCACACTCCTAGCTTAATGTAGGTAGGGCACAGCATTGTGACACAGCAACCTAAGCTGCTCCTGCAATGCCAACACACCACAGGAGAACTGGTTCAGGTCCCAGCTGCACCACTTGCAATCCAGCTCCTTGTTAACATACTTAGGAAAGCAGCAAAACAAAGTCTAATGCTAGGAATCCTCCCATTCCCAGGGCAGAGCTGGAGGATGCTCTAGGCTCTGGTGTCAGCCCCCTGACCACATGCCTATTTGGGGAAAGCAGGTAGCTGGAAAATCTTTCTCTTGATTTAACTCTGCCTTTCAAATAAACAAATAAGCACATTTTAAAAAGTGCCTAAATGCATTAAAACAGATATCAACTATTAAAATACAATGAACCTGGCAGGTTTGAATAGTACCCTCCCTAATCCATGATCATTATGGTTCTGTTCATTGTGTTTATCATGTTTGTACAAAATCACCTGCTGATACTTCTCTTTTCCCACACATTTTTTTTTTAATTTCTTGAGACTGGGTATTGTTTTTTTTTTTTTTCATATTTGCATGGCCAACACCAAGCATAGGGCTGGACATGGAGAAGGAAATGATGGGTTAACGTTGGACAACAATGAATTTGTGAAGTATTTTCAGTGTCACATGAAAGTGTTCAACTTTCCAAAACCGCATTTCCTCACATCCACAAAAAGGAGCAACACGACAGTATTCACACGGACCTGTGCTGTCTACTTGCAACTTCACATGAGACTTCTGAACAAATGAAGATCCATGAACATTGCAGTTATTAGCAAGAACTATCAAGGACTAACTCAAAGGAAATACTTGGAAGGCTGAGTGAGCTAGAGCTCAGTACTGTACTAACAGGAATGAGGAACTTCTTTATTTCTTCCAAAGCATGTCCCATCCGTGCATAAGCTTCTGCTGGTGGCGCAAACACTTCAATGAGCACATGGAGGTCATCATTGAGATGGAAGTACTTTGCTTCTCCACTTTTTCTCAACTCTTCTTCCTGGAGAAGGAAAAATCATATTTAAAAATCTGTCATTAAAAGAGATAAAAAGACTAAAACTACATACAACTTAGCTGTTTTCTCAAGTAGCAAATACCTCCCTAAAGAAGGAAATAACTGCGAAATCTGTTCTTTCCACTTCAAGGAATTTACTAACTCCCAATTGGCTTTCCACCGCCACTGGACAAGCCTGACACTCTATACTGTCTACAAGGAGCAACCCCTATGCCAATCACCTACCCACTGCTGCCTGTTCCTTCTACTGCGCCTCACTTCCATGCTCCAACCATTCCCGCTAAGGCTAGCTATACAGATCACAACATTTTCATGATTGCAGTGCTCTGTCCAGCTGACACACACATTAGTCAGGATATCATTAATTCCATCAATGTAGCAGCTACAAGGAAATGAACTGAATTCACAAAGAGTAAACACCCTTAGGTTCAGAATCTAAAAGTGAGATCTCTCTAGAATGTGGTTATAAAACTAATGAGAAATGCTAAAAATATACATATTAACTAGAATTTATGAAAATCAAAAGTAATAAAAAGGATAAATGAAAGCAGTATTCAAGATCTTGCAATGACCAAATGACTATAACACAGTCATTGGTAATACCCACTTAAGGAGCAGTCATTACCTGATTCATCACTGTCAGCTTCAGTGAGAAGCTTCCAGTGGCAGAAACAACAGCAAAGTACAAAGCACTGGGCTGGCCTGAAATGGACTGTTTTGTACTGTAACCAAGAGTTGAAAGAACAAAATGACAGACTGACCCAAGACAAGCACAGGGTTGAGTGCTCAAACCCTTTCTGATGTAAATCTTAGGTTAATGGCAGGGTAACAAAGAAAACCCGAGAGGAGCACTGGCAACCTTTGGGTTGCATTCAGATCACTCTGGGCACACAAATGTTGGCAGAAGCCTATGCTCAGACTTGTCCTTGTGCTGCTGGAATGGCAGACAGTTCCTTGAAACAAGGAGGCAGCCTCATCTTTCCCCTTGATGCACTTCTTACACCCCCATTTGTTTCAGAGTTGCAGAAAAGGGAAAAAACAGAATCTGAAGAAGGTCGCAGGCACACCAAATTTCTATCACTTCTAGTGTGTGACTAGATTCTAGTCTTCCCAAGAAAGATCTGGAAGGATAAATACCAATGCAGTCTGAGAATTATAGGTTGAATATTGCTTATCCAAAATGTTTGTTAACAGAAATATTTTGGATTTCAGAGTATCCATATTTTAATATATCTGCATATGCTTAATAGCATATCTTGGGGAAAAGCCCAACTTCAAAGATGAGTTTCATGTTTATTTTATATGTACTTTACAGATACAGCCTGAATGTAATTTAATATATTTTCAGCATGCCTGCATTTTGATTGAGACTGCCCCATAAGGTCAAGTGTGTAATTCACATTTGTGCCATCACACCAAAGTTAAAAAAATTTCAGATTTTAAGGGGGAAGGCATTGTGGCACAGCAGGTTAGGCTGTCATTTCACACACCTACATCCCATATGGGAGTGCCAGTTTGGCTACTCCACTTCCAATCCACCAACCTGTTAATTTTCCTTGGAAGCAGCAATGAACCAGGTACCAGTGTTCCTGCCATCCGCATGGGAGACCCAGACAGAACTCCTGTCTCTAACCTGACCTATCCTTAGCTAATGTAGGAACTTGGGGAGTGAACCAAATGAGCCAAGGAATTCAGATACCACCACCTGAAATAATAGTACACTGTCAGAGATGAACAATCTAGATATGTATTAGAATCATTTCAACTGTGTAGCTAAAATTCACTTTGTGTTTCTATCCAAAATAAGTTGGCGTGTGAGACTCTACTAATTTTCCTGATTAACCCAGATAATATACTAAATGTTCTCTAAATTTCAATTTTTCTTACATGTGAAATTTATATCCTTTTCCCGGGATGACACGGAATAACATGTGCAAAACACCTCATAGACCTCATGCAACTGTGGTGCCCAAGAAACAAATGGTGGCTATTTGTATTATAAACGCTATCATGTAGATTGAATTTTTTATGAAGAAGACTCACTCTGTCTTAACCTCCATATCTAAAATCACTTTGAATCAACATTTCATGAAAACTGATAACTGAATGTAGATTTAATTTTCAGTAGTAAATCTTTAAACAATGATAGAGAATAACATGACACATGTGAAAATTTTCAGAATTAGCATATGTAACAAAATGATAAATAACTCAATAATTTTTAACTTGTTAAATGATGATTTATTTCTTCCAGAATCAAAAATATAAGCAGTGTGTTTTATTTATTAATACAATTGGTACAGATGAGACTATATACACTGAAATTAATCAGAGTGACTCAATTTTCTAAACAGTATTACAATTATAGCCTTACATACATTTTCATTTAATTCCATTTGAGGCTCTTGCTAGCTTTTATAAATTGCTCATTTATAGATGTTCTAAATGTATAAACTATAAAGTAGCTGTTGTCTGCAGCAAATATTACCTTTGTTTTATCTCTCATGGAACCTTTTCCAAGGATGGACATTTTTGTCAAAGTTTCCTCTTGTAAACGTTTCAGAGAATTGCCACGTGGACCCAAAAGTTTCCCCACAAAGTTGAACTAGAAAAAAACAAATCAATCAAACATATTTGTAACATTCATATCTAAAAGTACTTTATCAGTCTTGAACAACCTGAAACACTAGAGTATGCTACACAGAGTCAATGACAAATATTTAAGTTTGTGACATGTACAACATGTGTTACAAGTACAACTCACTCGTGATGTTTTTCACAAGTCATATACACTGGAATTAAAAGTTGCATTTTTTTAAACACTCTCTATACCGATCATTTCAACAAGGCTAGTTTCCCAGAATTTATAGATGGTAATCCTGACTATTCCGCACACATTAAGGATCACCTCTGAACAACGCTTGCATCAGACTGGAAGTGACAAAAAATGGTAACATGATATGTCCAAGACCATCATGGAACACCTGAGTTCTACCATCTCGGCATTTTCAGCTGCTTCTGCAACCAATTCAGGGACTAGCCTGAATGAGCTTCTAAGGAACCAATAACTGTCAGAGCACAACAACGAAATCCACTTATCTTCACCAAAGTACGTAGCTATGGGAATGTGGACAATTTATACACCCTGCATTCGAACAGTTTATTTTTTAACAAGCAACGTAAAAGTGAATCAACTGAAGAGAAGGCCTCTAGGTTAGCTTGATCCATTTAAAATTTGCTTTTCCAAGCCTGGTATAATGGATCAATGGCTAAATCCTCACCTTGAGGGTGCCAGCATCCCATTTGTGTACCAGGTTGTGCCCCAGCTGCTCAACCTCCCATCTAGCTTCTTGCCTGTGGTCTGGAAAAGCTCCACAAAGCCTTGGGACCCTGTACCCACATGGAAGACTCAGAAGAAGCTCCTGGCTCTTGGCTTAGGATTGGCTCAGCTCCAGTTGTTATGACCATCAGGGGAAGATCTCTGGTTTTTTTTTATTTCTCTCTGTAAAGCTGATCTATCTTTCCAATAAAAATGAATAAATCTTAAAAAAAAAAAACAAAGCCTGTTTCATTTTCCATCTGAGTGACCACGAGCAGGTTGCCTAAACTCACTGTATCTTGGTTTCTTCATTTGTGAAGCAGAAAGGATATTAGCACCTACTGTTTTAGTAATTTAGAACAATGCATGATGTATTACAGATAATATATTTTAAATGCAAAAATTATTATTGGAAACTTCACAGTTTTAAAAGGGTCTCATGAAAATAAACTATGCATACTTCTTGGTCCCCCAAAGAACTTCGCCCTGTTTAGCAGAAACTTTTAATAACAAATTCAGAGTTGATACTTTTTCCATGATCCATGCCACTACTATGTTCTTCCTATTTTTAAGAGGAAACTGTTCCTCAATCTATGAAAATTCTGCTTGCCATAAATAAGTAGTAAGCAGTTGGAAAATACCAGAATGTTGTTCTTTCCTTGCACAATCCCTATAATCAAAACTCTCTCTCTCTACACACACACACACACATACACACACCACACACACACACACACACACACACACACACACACACACACACACACACACACACACTCACACACGAGAGACAGGCAGATTGCTGTCTTGTTTTGCTTCCTTAAAGGACTTCTTCTTTGAAGCAGAGACAGATGGAGATTTTCCATCCACTGGCCCAACTCACAAGTGGCTGCAAGGCCAGAGTTAGGCCAGAGCCACAAAAGCCAGAAGCCAGGAGTTTCTTCGAATCTCCTAAGTGGGTGTCAGGGCCCAAGCAGCCTGGCCCCTTCTGCTGCTTTTCCCAGGTCACGAGCAGGAAGCTGGATAGGAAGCAGAACAGTCAATATATGAACTGGACTTGCAGGCAGCCCCATCATCATCTACAACACCACAACACTGGCCCACTGAATATACATTTTTATCTCCAAATGTGGTGATTTTTGAAATTAATTTTAGGTAAATTTATAAATTCCTATAAAAGATAACTTAATGGAGTTTTAAAAGCCAAATGCCAGTCTAGGTAGGAAAAACAAACCCCCGAAAACCCCACTCAGTGCCCTGACCCACCTGCACTCTTTGTTCTCATTGTCGACTTTCTCCATTTTGCTGGAAATTCTATCCCTGGGATATTGGGCCTCTTCACTTAGTCATGGTTTTCTCTGTTATCTTTTTGTCTCTGGGTTTATTTAATGGAAGAATTAACTCTATGTCTAGAATATCCATTGATCCTCTCATTCATGTTCTTAAATGTTTATCAGCTAATTAGGTATTTCTTCTACTTGCTTCTTTCTATAGCTGTTTGTTGATATTGGGATAAAATATAACATTCTTGGTACACTAATGACAGTGACTCTTTCCTACCAGCAGCTGATAGTATTTGCTCCTCCCAACAGTTTTTGTGCCCTCATTTTCAGAACTGGTCTCTTTATACACAATAGACTGTATCTGTTATCCGTGGAAAAATCTTAACTGGAGGGGGAGGGCTCTAAAATGCTAACCGCAAGTTTTGCCTTCACACAGTGGGCTAGAAAATTGATAGGCTTTACTGTCAACATGGCAGCACAGGTTATCCATTAACAGCTACTCAAATACCAGAACCTGCACTTCTTTTCTCTGAGGCTAGGCACTTTCCTTGAGAATTCCACAGCCTTCTAAGAAGAGGTATCAGTCCAGCTGCCAGATGCTTGGAATCCCAAAGCTATAGTTTGGCTCCCAAACCCATTCCAATAATTAAACTGTGGAGTCCTACGTTTATGTGACTAAGACAGTAGAAACTTAAATATGATGTCTAGGGAGTGGACCTAGGGGGAAGTACTTCTGTCACGGGGCGTCTATTTGAAAGGATGCAGCCACTCTGCCTGCTGGCTCAACAAGTCATCTTTCCTCTCACAGCATTCTGCACTCCACCACCACCACCCTCACCAGAAGCCAACTGACAGAGCCACATACTTTGCACTTGAACAATCAGAGCTAAGAATAAGCACTGTCTCTATATAAAGTTAGTTCCCATATGTATTGTATTATATCAACAAAAGTTCACTAGCAAATAGTACTCTGCCAAGCGTGCAAGCTTATATTTAATGAAAATAATTCCCACCTAATCAATGTGCCTCTCACTACAGTCCTCAATCGCATGCATGTATTTTAAAGCCTGGAATTCACCTTATTCATCTCTTCGGGGAATCTTTAGTCTCTCCTTGGGGTGTCATGGACAGACATTTCAGTGGTCTAAAAATTTCATGTGTAAGTTTCAGCCAAGATCCTCCTTTTCAGTTCTACTCCATAAATCTACCTTCACAGTATTAATATCTACAATTTGTGAATCTTCTCCAGATGTCCCCATACAAATCACCATGCTTCCACTTAAATTCTTCACCCTGAAGGCTTTCCCTATTCCTGAGTCTCTAGCATCTATCCATTTGCTCTGTAGCAAGGGAAATTTTCCTGACACCATCTGCCTATAATGGCTCATCTGTACACTTTCACCTTCACCTGCATTCATTTTAGCGGGTGTCAAAATTTGAGTAAATTTCTGTATTCCTTCCACATTTATACTGTATACTAGATGTCCAAATACATCCCAGGTGATGAAAATTGTGTTTGTAGACATAATTCAATCCTAATATGTAATTTTATTAAAAAGACACTGAAGCCCACAGAATGGTGTGGTTTCATACTTGCATCTCTCTCTTTGTCCTTCTCAGCTCTACTCTACCACACACAGCCTCCTAGCTAAATTAACTTGCATGAGTCTCAGGATTTTCAGCTATAACAGGGATGAGAGCTATACCAATATCTGTTGATGAATTATTTCATCTTCATTTTATTTCAAAAACAGAGAGTGAGAGAGTGGAAGGCAGAGGATTAGGTAAGCAGGAAGAGAGAGGGAGAGAGAAATACAGACACTGCTTCATTGATCTTCTATGTTCTTGTTCACTCCCCAGATGTGCACGACAGTCAGGGCTGAGTTAAATCAACACTAGCCACCAGGAATGCCATCCACTTGAATGCCATCCACCTACCTCCCTGGTTGTACTTCTGAGAACTTGAAATCAATAGTCGTGCCAGGACTTGAATGTACATACTTCCTTTAATATACGGAAGTCCCTCAATGGCATCTTCACTACCCTGCCACATGCCTGTCAAAGCTACAAAATTAAATCAAAAAATGTGTAAGAAAAAAAAAAGTCATCCAGCAGAACACCCAGTATATTTTACATACTTGGTGTCAAATTGTCAAGTAATAAATTACTGAATTTAGCTACTCTCTGAGTGTATATGTGTGTATGTATATACTGTATACACATATGTATATATTATATACACACATGTGGTATATATAATATTATATATGCATGTGTATGTGCTTATATATAAATATATATTATTTATGTGAATAATAGCCACATTTCACTAGAAATGACCCAGCTAAATCCACAGAGCTGTCAAGGAAGCCACCACACTGAAAAGATATGACCAGGCCCAGGTTATCTGACACTGAGATCTAACTGTGCAGATATAGCACGTCCTCAGAGCTGACACACAACATACGTGGCTGCTTGGTCAGATTGCATCACCTCTCCAGGGGTGTTTCAAAATCGTTAACAAGTTTGTTTGGTTGTCACAATGAGGAAGGACACTACTGGGATTTAGTGGGCAAAGGCCCAGTATATTACACATCAGGAGTGTCAGCTGCCAAGAAACATTGTCAAGCAGAACAGACACAGACCTGGCAACTTTCTGTTACTTAGACTTTCAGTCTACATGTTCAATCCTTTTATGGATACCATAATATGCATAAATGTAGTTAAAAACAAACAAAAAGACTAGGATAGTCCGATAAGCAAGCAGCAGTCAGCATGTCTAACAAGACAAACCCTAGCCAACAGGAATTCGAACAGGCTGTTCTGGATCCAGATGATGGAATACAGTTCTCTCACCTGCCTTTATCTCACAGCACCTGCTGAGATCACATTGGACATGAACTTCTGCAGAAGCAGCTCTGGCATGCCAGCTCTTCACAGCACCGATCACGGTGGTACGTCAGTCCTTCCAGCCCTCAACTGCACTGTATTTACCAGAGTGTGCCTTGTAAGACTTTGCAGCTATTATGGCAATTAAAACATCACATAAAGTGCTAAATTCTGTGACAATATTTACTTTTTTTTCTGAGCCCTATGCTCCGAAAAATCAGAGATGATTAAGAAATTCACTTGTTGGGCCCGGCGCAATGGCGCAGTGGTTAAGGTCCTCGCCTTGCATGCCTGGGATCCCATATGGGTGCCGATTCTAATCGTGGCAGCCCCGCTTCCCATCCAGCTCCCTGCCTGTGGCCCGGGAAAGCAGTCAAGGACAACCCAAAGCTTTGGGACCCTGCACCCACGTGGGAGACCTGGAAGAGGCTCCTGGCTTCGGATCAGCATAGCATTGGCCGTTGTGCTCACTTGGGGAGTGAATCATTGGACGGAAGGTCTTCCTCTCTGTCTCTCCTCTCTGTATATCCGCCTTTCCAATAAAAATAAAATAAATCTTAAAAAAAAGCAATTCACTTGTTCCTTTACGTTCCAGCAAATAGACTCTTTCAAGGCCAACCAGATTCCTCACATGCCCACACTTTGCTTCATAAAAGATAAGGGTGACTGGTTCTCTCAAGAAAACAAACAAACAAAAAACCCTCATACCCCAATAGATCAAACTTCCTAATAGGGAAGGCAAGCCAAGCGGCCAGCATTGAAGTACTGCAGTACTGAGGTAAACATGCCAAATACGCTGCCTGAAACACGGTTTTCCTGTTTCAGAGCTGGTTCAAGCCCTGTCTGTTCCACTTCAGATCCAACTCCCAGCTGATGCACCTGGGAAAGCAGTGGAATATGGCCTGTTTAGGACCCTATATCTACATGGGAGAAAAAATGAAGCTCTGGGCTCCAGAGTCCTGACTTCAGCCTGGCCCAACCCAGCAACTAGGGTCATCTGAAGAGTGACCCAGTAGAGACAAGATCTCTCATAAGATTTATTTAACTTTATTGTAAAGGCAGATTTACAGAAAGAAGGAGAAAGATCTTCACTCTGCTGGTTCACTCGCCATCTGGCCTCACAAGCCAGAGCTGAGTCCATCCAAAGCAGGATCCAGGAGCTTCTTCCAGGACTCCTACGTGACTGCAGTGTCCACAGGCTCTGGGCCGTCCTCTACTACTGTCCAGGTCCACAAGCACGGAGCTGGATGGGAAGCGGAGCAGTGGGACACAATCTGGGGCTAGTATAGGATTCCGGTGAGTGCGGGCTGAAGATTTAACCACTGAGCCATGGAACCAGGCACCTCTCTCCACCTCCTTTATAAATCTACATTTTAAACAAAGTACATACTAAAACAAAAACAAAAAACAAACACCAAGCTCAGGGTGTAAGATTCTCTGACACCATGCCATCTTGCAACCAGCAGACTTTTCTACATTTGTTTCCAGGAGTGAAAGGTCTTTTTCTGCTTGACCTTGAAGATGTCATTTGGAACTCCCCAGTCTAAAAGTCCACTTCCATGCTTTTGCAGTAATATTTTCAAATAAAGTCTTTAGTTTAAGTCCAGTTTATACTTTAATGACCATATCTGCAAAATAGATACAACTAGTATTCATTTTTATAAATAATTCATTTACCTAAGTAAACTCACTTATCTTCTAATGAATAGCTATTCATTAATAACTTATTTCTTAGGCCAATATTATTATTTCTTAGACAAATGACTCCACTCTAGATGCCAAAAACTCTAAAAAACACATTAAGTTTTGCAACTTTAAATGGGAAAATTCTGAAGAGATTATGAAATGGCAAACCTACACAGAGTAGGGAATATTTGAGTTTTATGATGTAATGTATAAATGGCAATTACATTCCTCATTGTAAAGGTAAGTGTGTTTCTGAACTCGCCTTAATTGAGCTAAACTATATTTGTGACAAGTGCTGTTCCTTTGGGAACAATTACAGTAAAGTTGTCATGTCATAAACAACTAAACTTTGAGAACACGCCAGGTCTCCCCCATTAAGAGGTTTCCCTTAATAGAGAGCTCACCAAATGCAACGCTAGCATAAGCATGTTTCACTGATTCCTGGCTACAGCTGACACTGGGTTTCCGGAGTCCCTGGTCCAGGGAATGCTCCAGTCGCTGCAGTGACAGCGGCCTGCACACTGACTATTTCTCCAGACAGCAAAGACGAGATCTCACGTGCTCACTGCCTCACTTCCAGCACCTGTGAAGCACAGCAACTCGGAGACAATGAATTTATTAACTATGTCTTAAATGTTTCTATTCATGTCTTCACGTATCCAAAGGTCTTGAAGTCCCAATATATCTGTCTTGGTCTAGGTCACCGTCTCTCAAGGACATCACTGTGTAACCAGTGTCCTTTCTCTGTATGCATATCTACATAATTTCACTGCAAAGAAGGTTTACAAAAATAAAACAAAACAAAACCCCAGAAACCCACAAAGTTGGCTTTATTCCATATCTAATTCAAATACTATTGTTCAGCTACATTTAGGATCTAAATCCAAATTTGCTGACACTGCTGTAATGGATCTACATATCATGAGCCCTTGCCTCTTTTAAGCCTCATCATTTCTGCTTTTAATTTGATCCATTCTGCATTTGTTTCTCAAAGTTACTATGCTCCAAAAATTACCCACTCAGCTTGGAGGCAAAAAATTGCAGAGAACATTATCCCCCTTCTGAAATGCATAAAATAAAACAAAAAGCTAATTAAAGTCTGATCCCACATCTCAGAAGAAGCATCAGCAGGGACAGCACAAATTCAAGCATCTGCTTGTCTAGAGTGAACTATGCAGGAAGGAGGGTTGGAAACCTTTGAAAAGGCTTGTTCTGCAGGGCCACTCTGCAACCCCAGATGCTTACAATGCAGGCCAGGACATGGGCAATATTGGAACCACCCCCGAAAGGATTAGCAGGAGGGGGAAGCAGCCACTGCTCAAATTGGCAGATCTCTTAGTCCAGTGCTTCATTACACCTCCTAAACAAAATCTACAACAGGAAGGAAAAGAAAACTGATCATACTTAATACTGGCAAATTCAACAAAATCTATACAGTGTCCTGTCCTAGTACGTATTGGTGCTGCTACAACTATGATGGCTGGACATGGAGCAGTAGCCTAATGGCTGAAGTCCTCACCTTGCAAATGCCAGGATCCCATATGTGAACTGGTTTGTGTCCTGGCTGCCCCGCTTTCCATCCAGCTCCCTGCAGGTGGCCTGGGAAAGCAGCAGATGATGGGCCAAAGTCTTGAGACCCTGCACCCACATGGGAAACCCAGGAGAAGCTCCTGGCTCTGGACCGGCTTAGCTCTGGCTGTTGTGGCTGCTTGGGGAGTGAATCAGTGCACGGAAGACCTTCCTCTCTGTCTTTCCTCCTCTCTGTACATCTGGCTTTCCAATAAAAACAAATAAATCTTAAGCAAAAAAAAAGACATTGGTGCTGGTAAACACATTCTCTGTGGTGGTCAGTAAACAAAGAATACCTAGCTCCCTGTACTTATGAGCTTTTTATTCCAGTGTAGAAGACAAAAGACTAGTAAAATGTAAAACGTACATGCAGACAATCAGAATCAGCTCCCTCTGAAAGGAAGAACCAAGCCTAGGCTGGCCGCTGCATGGTTGCTACAGGGTGAGCGCTGCCCTGCCTTTGCAGGAATCTGACAACAAGGACGTCCTCAAATGTCAACAGCAAAGGACACAGCCCTGCAGCACTAGGAGCTTCAGCAACTAATGCAACCAACTTTTCAGGATGGGATATGAGTCAAATAATAAACACACACGTGTACAAACACATACGACTAATACACAACCTGAAATAATCAGCATCACATGTTTTCTACAATGCTTCAGCACCTGTCTTTGAGAGTCAGTATTACAAAAGAATAATCATGTATCACATATTAATGAGCTTGAAATTACAAATTAGAAAATCTCAAGACTGTAACACTTCATCTACAAGTATGAAAATTTAACTGGAAAATTGAATTCTACAAGTAAGAACATGACATGAATAAAACCCTACTATAATAGACAGAATGAGGGATGACAATGGTTTTGATTTAGGTGTGATGATGGAATGCAAAGAGAAAAAACAGT